AGCCCCTCTCTCCCTCAGTTGTTGATATGTCATACCCCAACCCCTCTCTCCCTCAGTAGAAGATCAGAATTACCTGGAACCAGGCCTTCAGACCCAGTAATTCTCCCCAAACAGGCTTCATGTACCGAGCAATAAACATTGCAAGAGATGCACAAACCAGCCAAGCGAGGGACATCAGGATTGCTGGAAAGGAAAGCAAATGATACATCAACACTAAACAGGGTTTCCTGTGGTACTTACCACAGGTATACTAACGCAGTTTGTAGCTAATGTAATTACCATGAGCTCGTAAAAGACGCATGTTTTTGCCGCCAACATCGAGGTCTTCAGTAGAGCTGATGTCAACTGTCTTTAACGTGTTAGACTTGTGAGAATGCTTCCTCAAACCTCCAGCATCTGAAATATGACCCAGAAACAAGTTGATTAGGATATATATCGACTTGATTCAGTATTTTACGACTGACTTTTGCGACTTGTTATCCCTGCGTTGCTTTACTTTCTTGTTCCCTACACCCACCCATCCATCCATCCATCTCATCCATCCATCTATTCATCCGTCCGTCCGTCCATCTCATCCCATCCATCCTTCCATCCATTCATTTCATCCGTTGGCCCATTCAACCATCCATTTTCACTTACTGCCGACTGATCCTCTAGCGAATATCAGGAACACTTTATTATTCAGGTCCATCATATTAGGTTCTTTAACAGGTCTGGAAAACCTTTCAGACAAAACAAGATGTTCAACTTGTGCATGAGTTAGAAAAGTAAAAAAAAAGAAGTAAAAAAAAAAAGAAGTAAATGTAGTGGAAGTCCCTACCTGCACTGAACCACACCCGCGCTGTTCTTCCCTGCGATGATTTTCAAACTACTAGTACCCTGAATATATAAAGGAAACAACGCGTCAAACTAACGCATCTTCGTACCTTGTTTCCGTGCTGGCTCAAATGCAATGTTTAAAAATTTCTTGCACTGAGATTAACATTTGTTTCACGACTTTGCAATGCTTTGAGCACTCGGCAACTTAAGTAGAACTGTAAGTCTCCGACGACAAGGTTTCGCGAGCATGTCTCTTAGCTAAATGGAAGACAAATGATTCTAACATAATTTCTACCCATGATGGCGATCACTCTCGTGCCCAGAGTTTTCCGGCTTTTCGGTCAACGGGTTGGCGCTGGAAAGACTTTTCGGGCAGCCAGGCATTGGGGATAAAGGCGCGAAGAAGCCAGAGGTCTCCGCGTACGAGATTGATAATCAGATCACGGCATTACCTGGATGTTTTTAATAGGAGCTCCGTATCCTTTGATATCATAGTGTGCAACTATGACCTGTGAAGACTCCAGGGAACAGATGATAGCATCGGTTCCATCCTGACGGAATAAAGAACGATATGAATGACACAGGTAACCCAAAAACCCATTCTATGGTCTGAGTAAGATAACACACAGGTAACCCAACAGCTAAAGGAAGAAAGATAAAAAAGAAATACATATAGCCCGGCCATAAAAGGCATTACTAAACCTTCATAGAGGGATACTATAAAAGAGATATCACTATTTATTAAAGTTTACCATTTTGCCTTTGGAGTTAAATCCAATGGCTCCCCAACCAGCCTTGAAACTCATCTCAAAAGTGACTTTGTCCTTGTCAGCTTTGTATGTTAGGAGATACTGACAATCATCACTTGATTGACAGCTACTGGGTTCAGAATAACAACCTTTGGTTTTGCCGCAATCAGCCTTGGTTATCTGTCAAAATAATTGCTTTTTACTTTCTGATCCTCGGCTGATAAGACTCTATCCAGGGGAGGGTTGGGTACAATGTAGGTACCACCTTTATGTAGGGAGGGGAGGGAGATGAGGGTAAATAGTGTAGATACAAACTCCATCCAGAAGGGGGACTTGGTAATAGAGTGGCTTTATGAAAGACGAGTGGTGGGTGAATAAGGTCGATACTCACTTCACACAGGGGAGGGGAGGGTGGGGTTTAGTTTAGACACTAACCTTATCACCAGGTGATGATGTAGGAGCGGGCGGTGTTTGTCTACCGTTCGTCAAGTTGGCAGGTTTTTGTACATCTACTGTGGTCGGTGTGTAGGAAGCGTTTGGAAAATGGTAAGCAAGAACGCCTGTTGAACCAACCTTGCTCCACGCGAAGATCAAGTACCAATTATTATTGAGGTTACGCATTTTGGGTCCCTGTGGAACTTTCTTCCGAGAGAATCTGGAATAAAGTTCCAAAAAATCCAACATGTGATTGGCTGTAACTGCTTACGTGTAAAATCGCGTGATTGCATCTTGGATTCTCGTCTCAAGGACGAAACGACATGCTCAAATTAAAAGGACCTGTAGGTCCTTATGTAAATCATTTACTCGTCCACGTTACCTGCACTTAACGATACCATTGGCATAAACACCCTGATGACGAGTGATATCACTAGAGGAACGCTGAAATCGTTAAAAGATTTGAGTATCAATACTAGTAACTGAAACTAGGGGAGGGGAGGGGAGGGCAGAGAGAGGCAATAAGAGAAGAGAGATCTTACCAAATCGTATCGTATGGGTTGGTGATTGTCTAAGTAGTACTGCCTCACTTCGACGACGTTTGTAGCTGATGTAGAACAAGTGATACTGTCCGTGCCATTCTGAGATATACAAAACGTGAGGTGTATAAATAGATGTCTCACATGGAATGACAAGCGAGTTAAGAGATGTGGACGACAGCTTCAGATCAAGAGGCGAATGAAGGAGTAGACTATTAGGGAACATGCAGGGATAGCAGGGATTGCGCGCATCTTCCCTATTCATTGGCTTCCCCGGCCATCTCCACTGCAACATAACCTGAGAATAAATACCAGCCCTTAGAAACCCAGGAATCTACTTTCTACTAATGATTGAAAACCAGTACTTACCATGGCTTGTTTGTCATTGAATCCTACAGAACCGTAACCCAGTTTGGAGCTTATCTCAAATGTAACATTGTCACCGTTATCTTTGTACGTCACGAGAAAGATACAGTCTTGACTGTTGGAGCAAGATGAAGGTTCCGAGTAACAGCTCTTGGTAACACCACAACCTGTCTTGCTAATCTGCGATAGCAATTCATCAATTTTATGAAGTACAGTTGATTAAGTAAACGTAAAGTAACCATAGGAATTACAGCTATTTCAAAACAGGTTGGTGAAGGTTCTGTTGCATGTTGTTATATTCATATGTAAAAATAATGTCAGCGCAGAAGAAAGAGAGAAAAAATTTGGTAAAATCCCTTATCGTTGTGACATTTCGCTGATTGAATTCACATAGCTGACCGTCAATTCGGGCTTGGTATGCAAAATGCAACATGCAAAAAAAACCTTCAACCAACGTTTTTTGAAATATCCTTCTGAACCAGAAGCGCGAGATCAGTGTTACACGGCATGTCTGTACTGTAAGGTTGTGATATGTCTTATTTATAACATTTGCTCTAACATACACACACACACATAACACTGACGTTAAGTTCTACTGGATATAATCCTAATTACGACATTAGATATACCTGGAAATCTCCTTCGAGTGTAGGTTGAGTGGTGGATGGAGCAGCTAAACCCGTTACTATACTGGATTTCTGTTTATCCCAGAATGTCGTGAAGTTATGGACGACAGTGACCCTAGAATGAATGAATGATAAAAAATAACACAGGTATCCCATACCATCAAAACCCAAGCAGGAGTAACTTCCAGTATCTATCATACTAAGGTGTGACGTCGACATTGATGTAACACGTGACGTCACTAACGACGTCATATCTTACCAGAAGGATATGTTTCCTGCTGATACTGAAGGTGCTGTCCATTTCAAACTGACTGAAGTGAAGTTGACCTTGGCCTTGTGTTCATGCCCAACTGTGTTCTGTAAAAAGAAATAAAAGAAAAGAAACTGATCATTTCTGGCTCTAGCTTGGGAAACTAAACTCTGAGCACCAAAGATGCCCCGTGTAGAGTGGTAAAGGGTCTTAGAAAGATCACCTATATATTACAAGTCTTTACCTTGGGCTCCCCCCTTGAACACCAAAGATGCGCCGTGTAGAGTGGTAAAGGGTCTTAGAAAGATCACCTATACATGTATATTACAAGTCTTTACCTTGGGCTCCCCCCCTGAGCACCAAAGATGCCCCGTGTAGAGTGGTAAAGGGTCTTGGAATGATCCAACAGGATTAGCAGGCTTGCCTTCACTTCTCGCTTGGACCATGAACCCCTTGAAATACATGGATCCTGTGATGATAACAGTCACCTCAGCTCCAGGGGTGTAGTTAGCAGACGACACTGTTATGTTATACGGACTGCTTGCTATGGGCTGGCTCTGGTGGCTATCATGATGAGGATGCATTTCTTCACATACAGTTGTTGGCACGTGATCAGGAAATGCGTGGGATGATGGGAAAACTAGAACAGCCAATAGAATCACGATCATCTGCAAGAAATTAATATAGCTCTATTTAGTATGCCTGTTCTGATTTAGAAAAATAAATTGTCTTGAACATCCGCTGGAAGAGTAGCATCGAAGGCGCTTTAATTAGAGACACTCGTACTCGGCCATTTGTTAGGAAGATGCAACATGAAAACACTATCATTGTTGGGTTTCCTATTGAGAACTGGGCCACCGCAAGCCACTGCAGAAAGAAGAACAAATGAATAATTAAAAAAATCTCACAGAGCGGATCACATCAAATGGTCTCCATGTCCAAATGATTCAAAAGTAACCTGGCCTCTTAATGATCGGCGGTGGACTGAATGCTACCGAAACTCGACGTCTTTTTTTCATTTTCAAAGCCAGACGCACTGTAGAAAAAGTCACCTACTTAATTAATTCGAGCATTTTTTCCCCCTTTTAATGGCAACTAAAGCATAACAAAGTGACATTCGTCATTAGCTTCAGGCAAATTGAGGGTTTTTTTACTGAACTTTGCGTGATTATTGCCAATGAATATGGACACTAAACGAATAAGATGCGTTATTCAAAGAAACTGAACGCGTATATTAAAAGAACAGACAGTACTTAATGTTCCTTATTACATGTCACGGGATTATCTCCATACGACATTTTAATTATAACACGAATCGAATATCATCATTATTTCATATTGCAGGAAACTAATGCTCGTTTTGTTGAAATGCATGGCTAGCATATATTTTATCACAGTTTATTCGTTTGAATTTGCGAGCTCAACGCAATTTCTAAAAAAAATAACTAATATGTCGTGGTAGTTTTTAATAAAGAGATGTCATTTGAAACAAACATCGAAAAAGTATAAATATATATATTCTGTTTCCTGTTCATTTGGCTGGTTACCTCAACTTGTTTTTTTAGTATAACCTCTTTTCAGTTGTTTGAAGTCTTGCTCGTAAACACCAAACTCGCCCGAAGACCTTTCAACGAAGCCGCCCGTTCTTTTCAAATCCAGTGTACGCACAAAAACGTTTATTTTGATCATAAAAAGATGAAAAACAAAATGCAGTCACTTGTAGGAATTTTCAGGTTCACAGTTCAAATTAAGTTGGAAAATGTCGATGTCAGCTCCGAGCACACAGGGGCAATGTGCAAAACAGAAAAACGTCTCCTCCAAACTTGACAAGTACAAACCATCTGCCTTGAATACGGAGGGTTTGTTTTCGATATTGAAATTAATTTCCATATTCCGCCTGCCCACACGGAATAAAAGCACTTTATGAGGTCATTACATGAAGGTTTGTTTATTGAATGTCGTCTTAGCTGACAAAAGCGGCATAATTACTGCAGTGGATATAAATGCGAGAAGCCGAAAAATAGTTATCTATGTATTGGATTAACTATTATTATTATTATCATTATTATTATTATTAT